AAGTTTGATTATGGATCACCTGGGGTCAAAAACTAGGTCACACTGCCAAAATATGGAAAAACGTTTTTAATAGGGGAGGAGATGTGTAAGCGGCCGGATAGCTCAGTCGGTAGAGCCGCGGAACGGTATTCCGAGGGTACCGGGTTCGAGTCCCGGTCAGGGTGCACATTTTTCTCACCCTGTGACACTCTTATGGTAACATTTTGACTCAATTCTCATCAAACTTGGTCAGGATGCTTGTCTAGTTAATTGCTTGGAGGAGTTCGAATATGGGTATCTCTGATGAAAAACTAGGTCACAGGAGCTAAAAATAGAAAATCTTGTGAACTCTCTAGTGGCTACTGTTGTTATCCAAATATCCTGGAAATTGGTCTGCAAGTTTGTTTTGATGATTTCTAGGTCAAGTTTGAATATGGGTCACCTGGGGTCAAAAACTAGGTCACACTGCCCAAATATGGAAAAACCTTGTTAACACTCTAGAGGTCACATTTTTGACTCAATTGTCATCAAACTTGGTCAGGATGCTTGTCTAAGACATTGCTTGGATGTGTTTGATGGGTCAGGGGAGCGATCTAGCGCCATCATGGCCCTCTTGATTCTTAAAAATTGGACTATTTTTATGATTTTAAAATACCTTTATTTTCATTGAAAAAAATTGAAAGAATCAATATAAGGAATTGCATGTAATTATGTATTGTATTCAACAATAAAAAGAAAAACATTATCCAGAAGTAAAAACAAGAATTCATTTACGTATATATAAGTTATCTGCCCTTTAAATGACCTCAAACTAGAAATGTGTCCATTGGATACGGGTGCCCACACACTCCACCGATTTGTCAATCTTATGTCTCTTAAGGTCAAATATTTTTTTGGCTACATGTGTCCAAGTTGAAAATTAAAAAATCTTTTATTAAGTAAAGGGCAAATACTACAAATACTGACTAAATCCACAAGAAAAACCCAGGGTGCATAAGAACACATGCTGACCAACATTCTTGTAACCTTTCAGGCCTACAGGCCAAATACTTTTTGAGTTACGTGCAACACAAGTTGAATATTGTAAATTTTTACTAAGTCAAGGGCAATAACTCTAAAAATACTAAAAATATCCACACAAAAATACCCAGGTGCACAACTACACATGCTGATCAACATTCCTGTAAGGTTTCATGACTCTAGGTCAAATATTTTCGAGTTACATGCGATACAAGTTGAAAATTGCAAATTTTTATTAAGTCAAGGGCAATAACTCTAAAAATACTAAAAATATCCACATGAAATACCTAGGTGTACAACTACACATGCTGAGCAACATTCTTGTAAGGTTTCATGACTCAAGGTCAAATACCTTTTTAGTTACATGTGACACAAGTTGAAAATTGGAAATTTTTACTAATTCAAGGGCAATAACTCTAAAAATACTAATTATATCCACACAAAAATACCCAGCCCAGGTGCACAACTACACATGCTGATCAACATTCCTGTAAGGCAGGGCTCTCGTTTGATAAAATTTGGGGCCGAATATCGGCCCCATTCCCCCACCAAAAAAGTATGTTTTTTCCCCTAAAACCGAAAAAAAATCCCCCTTGAAATCCCTGGAAATTAATATTTAACAGGCATAGAAAATGCCAATCAGCGAATATATATTTTGCGAACGGCAACCGGAAATAGGTACGTATTCCACGGACGGCAATCAGAAATTAGTATGTATTCCATGACTGGCAACCAGAAATTAGTACGTATTCTGGGAACGGCTATCGAAAATTAGTATTATATAAATAAAATGTTCCGGACAGTTTTTAGCATTCCAACATGTCGCACAATTTCAAGTCTTACTGAAAAAATAAAAAATCCCCTTTAAATGAAAAATATTTGAAAATCATGCAAAATTCCCCCTCTGCATTATTTCAGGACCCTGGCCTCAGTCTCAAAATGCTAACAAGAGCCCTACTCTAGGTCAAATATTTTTTGAGTTACATGCAAACAAGTTGAAAATTGGTAATTTTTACTAATTCAAGGGCAATAACTCTAAAAATACTAAATATATCCACATGAAAATACCCAGGTGCACAACTTCACATGCTGATCAACATTCCTGTAAGGTTTCATGACTAGGTCAATTACTTTTTGAGCTAGTCGTGCGACACAAAAAGAGAACGGATGGACGGACAAGGGTAAATCTAAATGCCCCCCTATAGTGGGGGCACAATAAGTAGAAAATTCTGATTCAGGGGCAGATAACTCAAAATGAGAACAATAACCCCAATTTTTTTTTCGCTTAAAATGTTCTGTTATCATATTCTGTTGCCAAGTTTAAAGAAATTCTATGGAACTAAATTGAAGAGCCTATACTGTGTATTTTTTTACATGCAATTAAGAAATATATCCCAAACTGTGATTTAACCGCTCAATAAAATCACTGTTGGAGTTCGGATGCGGGGAATTATTTCACTAGGGAGTATTATATTAAGTATTTACCTATGAAGTTCAGTATTAAACAGAAGAACAAATTAAAGAAGCATCATGAAAATTTTCATTCACAAATACGGTAATACCTCAACAAAGATGATAAATTAATATTAACAATAGGAGACCTGAAAATTTTGCTAGAGCGATGTAATAGCCAATTTTCTTTTTCATTATCATTAGTTCTCTTGTAATGAAAGCATTTTATTTTGAATGCTAGCCCATAAATAAGCAAGTTTCTTTCTAAAGGTGAGAGGGTTATTTTAAAAAGTTAGAATAACATTTTGAATTTTCTTTTGGGTGCATAACTGATTGTTCTGTGGACCATTACATTAATCTGCTTTTAATCTGTTGGTATAAGGTTTAAATTGTCTCATTTTATCAATGTTTAAATTTCAGCAAAATATAGAAATCAAATGTTATAAATGTTTAATGCATCAACAGAAACTTCAAGGGTTTATTTAGGAACCATTTTACAGACTTGATTTATTTTTATAGATGTTCATATTGAAATGTTTAAAATTTCAATTGACCTGAGTGTATTTACTTGTCAAAATGTATACAGAAAGTCCGCAAAAGTCAAATAGGGTACAATCAATAAATTCAATACAAGTTAATGGATATACCGTATGAAAGTATTAACAAGTTTGTCATCGCAACGTTACATTGGATGAGCGAGGGCTCTAAATGTATGATTGATATGGGCCAGAGTGAAGACAACGATCTATTGATTCTAAACACTTTATACAATTGGGCAAGTTTCTTGTTGCTCAGTTTAAAATTGTAAGCCCCACATGAAAGAAATTCGGAATATTGGTTCATTAATTTGCTGATTATTGAAACAAGATATTGATTAAGACTGGATATATAGATTTAACACTTCAAGTTATTGTTAGTTTAATCACGTTTGAAATATTAGTGCAGAAGAAGGCTTACATTTATAAAAAAAAAATGGTAGGAGTTTTAATTTTTTTTTGTTTTGCTAAAGTAGAAACTTAACAAAAATGACAAAATAAAACATTCTTGTTGCAAAGTGTAAACAATTTCACAGTTATTTAGATAAATTGAAAAGTAAAACATGATAAAGTTTTAATTCTAATGAACAAAAACTTTCTTTTCGTTTCATATCTTATTAAAAGTTTGATTATATTTTATATAAGGACTTAAACTTTGACTCTTTTTGTTTTCTATACTCTTTCTGTCAGCAGTCTGAATGGTAAAATAAGAATTTGAGCATATTTTAAGAAGGCATTGTTTTTAGCTCGACTATACAAAGTGTATGGAGAGCAGTCTTACAGATTAAAGTTTTGGTGCAGTAAAATATTTTTCACTGTAACTTTGTCATTTCTTAAGGTATCAACTTCAGACTACAAATATATGTTCCTTATCATCAACAACATCTTATGTGACAAAGGTTCATAACTCTAGTGCCAATATTTTCAGATTTATCTCCCCTTGAACTTTGAATTTTCCTTTAAAAATACTATTTTTACTGTTACTTCTTTATTTCTTAAGGGATAAACTTCATACTTCAAATATATGTTCCTTATCATCAACCACATCTTATGTGACAAAGTTCATAACTCTAGCACCAATATTTTCAGGTTTATCTCCCCTTGAACTTAGAATTTTCCTGAAAAAATACTATTTTTTACTGTTACTTCTCTATTTCTTAAGGGATCAACTTCATACATCAAATATATGAACCTTATCATCATCCACATGTTATGTTACAAGGTTCATAACTAGCACCAATATTGCAAGAATTATCTCCCCATAAACTTAGATTTTTTTACTAGAAAAATGTTATTTTTTACTATACCTTTTTTAGTTTTAAAGGTATCTACCTCAAACTTCAAATACTTATTCCTTATCATCAATTACATTTTATGTGACAATGTTCATAACTCTTGAAGCAATATTTACAGATTAATCTCTCTTTGAACTTAGGATTTTCTTTAAGAAATATGATATATTATATATTATATTCTTTACTTTTTAAGGTATCTACTTCAAACTTCAAATATATATTTCATATCATTACACACATGTTGTGTTATAAGGTTCATAACTCTAGCGTGACTATTTCTAGAATTATTCCCCCTGATCTTGGAATTTATGTTAACAATGTTATTTTTTTACTATAACTTAAAACATAATTATACATAATTGATTTTTCTTCCATAGTTTTTTCTTCCTTACTGCGTCCAGCATTTTATTAGTCGAGCTTCACTGTCTCCTGTGACATCTCTTGGTTTTATACTCACACAGTTAGTTGTACATATTATACACACTAATTTACTTGCTGGATTAAGTTATTATATTGATTATTATATTGAGAAAAAATATTGGATTTCATCTCTGAAGAATCATGGTAAGAATGTGTCTCTTTAACAATACACAGGGAAGTTGTTAAAACCAATATCTAAGTTTATATTGTAATAAATTTTAAAGAGAAATGATGCTGTGATTTTAAAGTCAGTGGTATCTGAGAGTATATATATATATTTTTTTTTCCTCATTTTCAGGCGGTGTTATTCACTGTTATCATTTATGTATGTGAGAGTATAGAAAACGATGATGTTGGAGGTGTGTCGTTACAGTGATGCATCCAGCATTACCTCCCTTGATGATCTGTCTGAACTTGATGACATCATGATGAAACATTCCGCTCCAAACGTAGAGGTGTTCGAATTTAATCTCGGACGTGCACCTCTATTAAGATGTGTAAAAACTGAAAAATCATCTGCATGTAACGAGTGTGAGACATGTAAACTGTCTATAAAGTTACGAGAGATCAAACAGTGGTTTCCTCGTCTAGGAGACCATTCAAAGAAACGTTTTATGTTAGGACTCATGCAAAGGACTCATAGTGCCGAGCTCCTTAAGCAAGTTGTGACCCTGTTACAACCAGTGTTGTGTAAAGATTTTACTTATTCCCGCAGCAGGACAAATCCAAGTTTATCAACAGATAATCCAACCCTCAGTTCAGACAGGGCTCTTCCAGCTAAGAAAGTTGATAATTATATTATTACATCATGGCAATGGTATGGTGAAGCTAATTATTGGAGCAAGGCAAACTTTGCTCTTGTCCTACTACAGATGTGTGATGCTCATTTACTGCACACTATTGGTGCTCAGGCCAAGACTTTGCTCATTTCGGAGGAAAAAGCTGCAAGGGAGTTTGGAGGTAGGTCAACAGTGAAATAAATTTACTGTGTGACAGGATGTGCCATTGTTATTATGGCTGTCCTTTTACAAGTATTTATAAATTCGGGCAGACTTTATATTTGTAACAGAAATTGTGTTTTAAGTTATAAAATCCATTCTTTCCAATGCTTTTTTAAAAGAAAAATGAAATTTAGAATTACATCTCTTAAATTGTTTGATCATTTAGATGTTTGTTCCCAGTCTTGTAAATGGTTAATCAAACAATTAAAGCTGGTTACAAATGATTTAGCAAGTTGTCATTCCAGTGTTTTTTTTTTCACTTTTGGGGGAAAGGGGTTGGTGCCCTTTGGAGGGGGAAAAATGCAATAGGAGGGGGATTTTTATACGGATCTAAAATATTGACGCCTCACATGTTAAACTTGTTTGGACACCGGCAGTAGCTCCCCTCACCTACATGAGAACGATTTGTAAACAACATTGCTTAACAGTAAGTCTTAGAGGCATAAAATAAAGCATTTTTCGGCAGTTAGTTGCAAAAAAAATGATATTCATTTCAGGCAAATTGGGGCCACCATATTATAGGGGGAATTTCGGCTTTAAGGGGGGAAAAACATACTATTTTGAGGGGGGGATGGGGCCGAATTTTGCCGAATATTTTGCTGCCAAAAAACACTGCATTCTGTCAGAGTATTGTAAAGATATTTAATCAAAATAAAGCCAAAGTTTACTTAGCAAGTTTGCTGTCCAGCTCTCTGCTGAACATAATTATAATACTTTTGAAGTACTTTTAATAACTATGTTTACTGATATATATAAATTTGATGTTTGTTAATCCATTATCCATAAAATCTCATTAAGTGTTTACTTGCAAGGGTTTTGTTAAGTATACCTCTGATTAAATTGACATTGGATAAATGTCAATAATTTATTTAATAATAAATCTGAAAATGTGCTGAATTTTTGTAATGGCTTGGCCCTGCTTTAAATTTGGAGAAGTCCATTTAAAGTTTAAGGGATTACAATATCAAAATACAATAATTGATAAGGGTGTATCAATACACTCACCTCACGATACTATATGTATTGCGGTACAGGGTCCATGATACGATACATATCACGATACGGGTTGACTAAAGAATAGTGTCTGTAAATGTAATCCATTTAAACTTTATATTTTCACACAGATGTATTATGCAAAATTTATTTAAAGTTGTGATGTGACAAAATTATGTTTTATATTGACATTTTGATAGTTAAAATAAAAGGCTAAGAGCTTTAATATTTTCTGAAGCTATGAGAAGTAAAATACCTACAATAAAAAATATCACTCAATATAGTAATATGTAAGGTGATAACTATTTTGGAAAAATTACTCAAGTTTATTTGTAACATTTAAAATGTTCAACTGTTGAGTTTGATGTAATAGATGATACAATTTGCCGACTGTGTAATAATGAACATAAGCTGAACACAAAAATTATTTTACTTTACTCACTTATAACACATTCATAACGGTTATTACTTATTTAAAAACACTAATAAATATATCAGTTGACAGTAAGGAACGGTATGGAAAATATCCAACGAAATAGCATAGCCATAACTCTATACAACAAGCCTTTTATTGCAGTGTTTTGACAATATTTTGTATTCAACGATGTAGGGTTTATTTGCAAAAGTGTCAAGATATCGTATTTAATTATTTATTCACGAATTTCAGTGTTAAAAAGTGTTTCCAAAAAGGCTTTAGCCGATGGTCAGTTCTTACAAAAATAATGATACCTTAGAAAAATAAGTTCAGCACGTTGAAATAGCAGTCTAAGAAGACATTTTCCCGATTATTTTTTCACCTGAAATCCAAAATGCTTCTATATTATGACTTAAAACACACTGACGCTGATTTATATTTATCTTCTGTATTATTTACTGAAATAATTACTACCCTTGAAAATGGTTTAAAATGCCCTACTGTTCCGTACCGTACAGGTGTTTTGTCTTAACTGTGAATTGTACTATAGATTTAGTGAAAAGGGTACAGTATACTGCATTTACGGAATGTAGGACAAAACCCCACACCTCAAAATTTTATAGAGTGGACAAAACCCCACACCTGAATTTCATAGAGAGGACAAAACCCCACACCTTTAATATATTGGACATAACCCCACACCTAATTATTTGTTATAAAACCATACAATTCATATGATTTTGATCTTGTTAGAAAAGAATAAAACAGAATATTTACTAAAGTTTGATATAGTTACTTTAATTATTTTACATAGCTCCTTTGATCATGATAATTAATGGTATGTTATATTATTTTATTTCAGTATACAATACAATATAGACTTTACAAATATTACAAACTGTTATATAAAAATCAAAGGGTGTATATTCATTAATCTTAATTAGCATTAATTATTCAAAGTGTCAACAGTGTCACTTATTTTATTGTCAGTCAAAGGTCTATACATATTATAATAGTAAAATAAAATTGAAGGTGTGGGGTTTTGTCGTTGATGTTAATGTTACTTAAAATTTTCTGATTAATATTCTGAGCACTTCAAATTCATTATTTCAATGTTGATAATGACACTTAAGTGTAAAATTATTATAAAGATTTATCTATACTGGAGTTTTATGTCTATTCAATATGCTATCTAGGCATTTTGCCTTTTTGGCACAGTGAATAATATCTTAGATATGGGAGCTTAGAACAATGGTACAGCAGATCATACTTGAATGTATTAAACGGATACCCTGCAACTCATCACTAAAATCTGTACGCAAATTTGGGTTTTATATTTAGATTACCAAAAATTTAACACTCCAAAATTAAATGTCATCAGAGTTAAAGTTGAATTTAAATTATTTGAGATCACAATATATTTATTTATGTACTATTTGAGATTTATGTAGCATAATTATATTTTACATTATATTGTAAGTAAGTAGATTTTAGACAGCATAATAAAGTTATTTCCAAAGGAACTCAAACTTTTTTATCCACTTTAAGTAATATGTTACTTACTGTAATGGTTAAACATTTAATTTTTTAGATTTTATGAAATAAAACAAATTGTTCACAAATTGCAGCATTCTTTCATATAAGGGACACTGTTGTAATTTTATAAATAAGTATTTCAGTTTGACTTATACATGTATAATGATTGTTAGTCAAGATTGCTCACAAAATAATAAGGTCCTAACATATTCATAACCCAGGCCTGGGTATTCCAGTTTCTGAATATTCTGAAATTTGCTCTCAGACCAGATTTTTATGTTTGTTACACTGTTTGATATTAGAGTTAATAAAGTAACAAAATATAATACAAATTTAAAACAGGGCTAACCCATTATACAAATTAAGCGGGTAATTAGGTTAAAAACATGCACTTAAACAAAAATTGCAAAATCCCTTTGTGGTATATCTTTATATGACTCAAAATAAGTGTATAATAATACCTGTATGGTTTTCTGTCATTTTGCTTTAGAAATGGTCTTACACATGCTTTTACTCATAATGAAAAATAATGGGAGAGTTATGAATAAGGAAATATGAAACTGGCATGCAAAGGTTAAGATTAATGGAATTATTGATATAAAACATGTCTTTCGTGACATCCACAATCACTAAATCATTCTGTAAAATATATAATCATCTTTTTATGCCATTCAAGAGCTGTCTTTTGTTCAAACATTTTCTTCTCAATAAAAACATAATTGAATATTGTACTGTGGTCTGATTGGAACAAGTGAATAGTTGATACTAGTACAAGTTATAAAGAATATGTCAAATACTTTTCTTCATAAAAATTGAAAATCAATCGGAAATAAACACTTTCAAAAGATCTAGACACATTCAGTTGACAATATCTGTCACAAACTTACTTGTATTTTATAAGGACCATTTGCTCATAAAAAGGACCAGTTGAAAAGCTTGTAATCTTTAAAACTATTTGAACAAATCAGTAAGGTGATTACTTACAAAGCCCTACAAATCTCTCACATAGACAGGGAGCATTGCTTGGATTTAATTCTGTACTTTTTTTACAGCATTAAAATGTTTGATAATAAATTTCAATTGTATGTGCATGACTGAAAAAGAGTTATTCCATTTTATGTTGGTAATAAGGGTTTATCATATTCCCCTTTGGTAGACTATGGGTTGAAATTGTAATTGTTTTTGTAATTTGAAAAGGAAAAATGCAATAAATAGATAATAAGTGTACTGCGGGAACCTCTGAAAATACTAGGCCCAAGTTGAGAGTGTAATTGAACAAGATACATAGGACACAAACAAAATTTATTAATATTTTGAAGGTGACTTTGGGGATGAAACTCTTCTTAGCTCAAATTAAGTGTGCATATTGCAAATTAAGTGTGCATACTTCAAAATTTCATTGTCCCCTGCCTTTTCGAAGAAAAAAGGGGGATATAGTAATAGGCTCTGTCTGTCCGTCCGTCACACTTTCGTGTCCGGTCCATAACTTTGTCATTTATCAAAGGAATCTAAAATAACTTCACACAAATGTTTGTTATAATAAGACGATGTTTCACCTACCTCCAAGGTCAAGGTCACACTTGGAGGTCAAAGATTAACATAGTCTGTTACAGCTAGGGTATATTTTGTGTCCGGTCTATAACTTTTTCATAGATCAAAGGATTTTGTAAATACTTGGCACAAATAGTCACTATAATAAGACAATGTGTCATGCGCAACACATGCATCCCTACCTCCAAGTTCAAGGTCACACTTAGAGGTCAAAAGTTAACATAGTCTGTTTTAGGGTATATTTTGTGTCTGATCTAGAACTTCTTCGGTTTATGAAATAACTAGGCACAAATAGTCACAATAATAAGACAATATGTCAGGTACAACACCTGCACCCCTACCTCCAAGGTCAAGGTCACACTTAGAGGTCAAAGGTTAACAGAGTCTGTTATATGGTATATTTTGTGTCCCGTCCATAACTTCTTCATAGATCAAGGGATTTTGAAAATACTTGGCACAAATAGTCACAATGATAAGATGATATGTCATGCGTAACACATGTGTCCCTACCTCCAAGGTCAAGGTCACACTTAGAGGTCAAAGATTTACATAGTCTGTTATAGGGTATATTTTGTGTTCAGTCCATAACCTTTTCATAGATCAAGGGATTTTAAAAATACTTTGCACAAATAATCACAATAATAAGATGATATGTCAGGCGCAAAACATAGGTCCCTACCTCCAAGGTCACACTTAAAGGTCAAAGATTAACATAGTCTGTAATAGGGTATATTTTGTGTCCGATCTATAACTTTTTCATAGTTCAAGGGATTTTGAAAATACTTGGCACAAATAGTAATATTAATAAGACAATATGTCATGCACAACACCTGTACCCCTACCTCCAAGGTCAAGGTCACACTTAGAGGTCAAATGTTAACATGATAGATTTTTAAATTCTGTGTTTCATTTTACTAGTATTTCTTTAATAAATTTATTGTTGCATTTGCAGATCTAGCATTGATTATAATTTTGGACTGAAAGTCCTGAGATCCATACCTCATATGTTTTTATGCCACCGCAGCATCTGCGATGCGGTGGCATATAGCGATTCACCTGTGTGTATGTGTGTGTGTGTGTGTTTGTTTGTTTGTGTGTGTGTGTGTTATATAGATTATATAGTGAACTTAAAAAATCTTCTTGTGAAAAACCACTAGTCCAATTTCAACCAAACTTGGCAGGATTGATCCTTGGGTGAAGGGGTTCCAAAGTTGTTCAAAGAATTTCATTCCATGCAGAAATCTGGTTGCCATGGCAACCAAAAAGAATTAAAAGAATAAATTTAAAAAATCTTCTTGTAAAGACCCAAAAGGCCTAGAGCTTAGATATTTTGCATAAGGCATTGTCTGGTAGACCTCTACCAAGATTGTTCAAATTATAGCCCTGGGGTCAAAATCGGCCCCGCCCCAGGGGTCATTGATTTTCACTATATGTACATATAGTAAAAACTTAAAATACCTTCTTGTAAAGACCCAAAAGGCCTAGAGCTTAGATATTTTGCATAAGGCATTGTCCGGTAGACCCTTACCAAGATTGTTCAAATTATAGCCCTGGGGTCAAAATCGGCCCTGCACCGAGTGTCATTGATTTTCACTATATGTACATATAGTAAAAGCTTAAAATACCTTCTTGTAAAGACCCAAAAGGCCTAGAGCTTAGATATTTTGCATAAGGCATTGTCTGGTAGACCCTTACCAAGATTGTTCAAATTATAGCCCTGGGGTCAAAATCGGCCCCGCCCGGGGGGTCATTAGTTTTCCTTATATGTATATAGTAAAAACTTAGAGTAAAAACTTTTTAAAAATTTCTTCTAGCAATTGACAAATGCTAGAGGTTAGATATTTTGCATGAAACATTGTGAAGTGAACTTCTAGCAAGATTGTTGTTGAATTATAGCCCTGGTGTCAAAATTGCCCCCGCCCCAGGGGTCATTGATTTTAAATATATATATATATATATATATATATATATATAGTAAAAAATCTTATTGTCTGAAGGTACAAGGCTTAGAGCTTTAATATTTGTTAAATGATATCATCTATAGGTACTCTACCAAAGTTGTTCAAATTTTGCTTCTAGTGTCAAAATTAGCCCCGCCCCAGGGGCCATAGGTTTTCCTTATATGTATATAGTAAAAAATTTTAAAAAATCATTTTCTCTCAATTTACAAAGGCTAGAGTTAAGATATTTTGCATGAAACATTGTGTAAGGAACCTCTAGCAAGATTGTACAAATTATAGCCCTGGGGTCAAAATTGGCCCCACCCCCAGGAGTCATTGATTTTCACTATGTACACATAGTAAAAAAATAAAAAATGTTTTTGTCTGAAGGAACAAGGGATAGAGCTTTGATGTTTGCTATATAATATCATCTATAGGTCCTCTACCAAAGTTGTTCAAATTTTTCCCCTGGTGTCAAAATTGGCCCTGCCCGGGGGCAGTGATTCTCATTATGTACACATAGTAAAAACAGAAAATAAAACAAATGTTTTCTGAATGGGGGAAAGCTACAGCTTAGATATTTGACTTGAAATGTTGTTTGGTGGACCTGTATCAAGATTGTTTTGAATTAAACCCTTGGGTCCAAAATTTTGCCTTGCCCAAGGGGACAGTGACCTACTTTCTTGTCCTTTGATGTACAGCAATGAAATTTTGACCATGTGCACAGTTTTAGTTGTAAAATTGAACTTTGATATCAGGTGACCTAGATTTTGTTGATGTGACCTACTTTCTTGTCCTTTGATGTACAGCTATGAAATTTGAACCCTGTGCACAGATTAAGATGTAAAGTGAACTTTGATTTCAGCTGACCTAGATTTTGACAAAGTGTCTTACTGTGTTGTCCTTTTGATGTAGTCATGAAATTTAGGCTGTGTGAAATATGACCTTCACCACCAAATTCACTAGACTCGAGTGCATTGATATATTCCTACTCTGAACTTTTATTGAGTTAACATTAGATTTAACCACTTATCTGATAATAAGAATAAGATAGGTCAGGGATCTATGCTTTATGACAATCTTCAAAATTGTAAAGAAACAAAAAAATCTGTTCCTACACTACTATTTAGTGTTGTATTAATGCGGTGGCATAGCATTTTTCTCAAATGCAATCTTAGTGTTTTAACTGTGTGACACTTCAGGAACATGTTGAGATGAAAGTGTCAATGTGTTAATTGGAACAATTCGCATCTTTAATCCTCCAGCTTAGTGCAATGTTAATTACACGTGTAGTCAACTGGTGTGAGAAATGAAAGATCGTTCGTGATGTAGCGAATCAGAGAAATGAAAGATCGTTCGTGATGTAGCGAATCAGAGAAATGAAAGATCGTTCGTGATGTAGCAAATCAGAGAAATGAAAGATCGTTCGTGATGTAGCGAATCAGAGAAATGAAAGATCGTTCGTGATGTAGCAAATCAGAGAAATGAAAAATCGTTCGTGATGTAGAGAATCAGAGAAATGAAAGATCGTTTGTGATGTAGCGAATCAGAGAAATGAAAGATCGTTCGTGATGTAGCGAATCAGAGAAATGAAAGATCGTTCGTGATGTAGAGAATCAGAGAAATGAAAGATCGTTCGTGATGTAGCGAATCAGAGAAATGAAAGATCATTCGTGATGTAGCGAATCAGAGAAAGGAAAGATCGTTCCTGATGTAGCGAATCAGAGAAATGAAAGATTGTTCGTGATGTTGACAAAAATTAAACTTTAGGTAAGTCGACTCGTCAACTGACTAAAAATAATTACAGTTTGAAATATTAAATCGGGTGACAATAAAATTGATAATTTCACTAATGATTGATTTAAAGCCACTGTTTACTGTAAACATAGTTAATATTTTCATATCTGAATGTAAAATGGTAAAGAGACTCATCACAAAACCTTTTAAAATAAATGATATTTTTCATTGTTAAAAAGTACTTGGTATCTATTTCAATACTTTTCATTGATTTTTAGATGAATTTAATTTAAAGTAATTTTTATTTTTTTTATTTTGCATATTGTAGATCACCTGAATGCAGTGGAAGCTGAAAAGATCTTGGTGAGAGTGAATCAGATAAATAAGAACTGCTGTTTGGCAAAACAAGACCTCCTAACCTCATTACTGACTTAAAATGATGTTTTTGATTACATTTTTGTTGTCATGTGTATTTTTTAAGTGGAATTTGAATTCAACATATTTATATTCTATTTTATATAATAAACAGCTTTAAAAAAATAAAATATTATAAATATGTGTTTGTAATCACAATGATATATAACTTCTAGCATATCTCAACAAAGATAGGCATGTCTCCCTTGCAGAATTATTGGCTCCAACTTGAACTTTGAAGCCAGTGGCTCCAATATTTTAGCTCACCTGTCACAAAGTGACATGATGAGCTTTTGTGATAGCTTTTTGTACGGCTTCTGTCCGGCCATGGCAACGGAAAGAAAAAACTTAAAAAATCTTCTTTTAAAAAACCGAAAGAGCTAGAGCTTAAATATTTGGCATGAAACATCATCTAGTCAGTGTCTACCAAGTTTGTTCAAATAAAAGCCCTAGGGTGAAAATTGGCCCCGCCCAGAGGGGGGGGGGGGGAGTTCATTGATTTTTATTATTTGTATATAGTAAAAACTTAAAAAATCTTCTTTTAAAAAACCCAAATAGCCAGAGCTTAGATATTAAGCATGAGACATCTTCTAGTGGATGTCTACCAAGTTTGTTCAAATAAAAGCCCTCGGGGGTCAAAATTGGCCCCTCCCCAAGGGGTCATTGTTTATTCCCTTATATATATAGTAAAAACTTAAAATATCTTCTTATATTACCTTCATGTAATCTAAAGTGTGTGATGACATATTCCCACAATATGATGGTGTTTCTTATTTCATTACAGTTGTGTGTTTTTTTCCTTATTTTAACAGAGTCTGTGTACACTGAGTGTGGCTCGATAGCTTCCAGTAACTTTACATACAAAACAGATGAGCACCCTGACCTTGAACTTCTGACAACAGTCAGTCAACAGTATGGTCAAGACCAGAACAATCCTTTCACTGGCACATCCCTCCCTGGTTACGACCTTGGCGATGACATTGAAAATGGTGATGGTGATGATGATTTCTATGATGACACCAGTTCCTCGCTGGATCCAGCGTACATGGTTATACCAACATCAGCAAAAGCTTACGTTGGTGTTGCCAGGCACAGTGATATGATACGACTGTTGCCAGTTCATATCTCAAAGATGATACTGAGTATGCTTGACAAGACATCTTTGATGAATGCACTATGTGTGAGCTCAGCATGGCGTATACTAGTAGAAGAGGTGCATAGAGATGCCTACGTTAACCAACAACTCTGGGAGGAAGTCATGCTGATGCAGGTAGTTATTGCTTGATTTGTACAGGTATTATATATGTTAAAAGTCTAACAATGCACTAGAAAACTTTTAATGTTTCACAACTCAAATATTTTTCTTAGGAGAAGTATAATTGTTATCAAATATGTTGTTGTTATTGTATTTCATTAAACTTAGTCCTAAAGAGGGAAAATTGGACGGGAACTGTTTTATTAAAATTAAGTAGGAAGCAAAAAAGAAAAGCCCATACATACACAATCATACATTTTTTGCTTAAAAAATAAGATGTTAAGAATAAATGATTATTAAACAAAAAGTGTAAATATTTACTAGATAAACCAATATGAAGTAGTCATGATATTTAATCACACCTTCATTTGATTTGATTAAGAAAAGATCTTAGTTTACTTTCCAATCTTATCTTTGTAGGACTTTCAACAGTACTCGATTGATTTCAAAACATTTATCCATTGATTACTTTTGCCACAGTTATGTTGGGAAAACACATCATTGTATAGGCCACATAAACACTGGTGGATCAAAAGTAAACAGTCTAATCAATTTCCATTAAGTTTCTATAATTTATGGGAATGATTATTATAATTCAATGTTTGCTGATCATTATATGGCATGGCGAAGCTAAAAATGGCATTAGTTAATGCGTTTTCCATTTCTCAGTGCTAATCTCCTTTAAATTTTGTCTTTGATTTTTCTTCTTTTTTTAGCTCACCTGAGCTTGCTCAGGGTGAGCTTTTAGGATCAGAGAATGTCCGTCATAAGTTGTACGTCCACAATTGCTTGTGAACACTCTAGCGGTCGCATTTTTGCCTCAATCATCATCAAACTTGGTCAGGATGCTTATCTAGTTGAAAGCTTGGATGAGTTCGAGCATGGCTCATCTCGGATGAAAAACTAAGTCACAAGAGCTAAAAATAGAAAAACCTTGTGAACACTCTAGAGGTCACATTTTTGACCCAATCATCATCAAACTTGGTCAGGGTGTTTGTCTAGGTGATAGCTCGGATGAGTTCGAACATGGGTCATCTCGGATGAAAAAGTAGGTCACAGGAGCTATAAATAGAAAAACTTTGTGAACACTCTAGTGGTCACATTTTTCAACCAATCATCATCAAACTTGGTCAGAATGCTTGTCTAGTCAATTACTTGGATGAGTTCGAACATGGGTCATCTCGGATGAAAAAGTAGGTCTTGGGAGCTAAAAATAGAAAAACCTTGTGAACACTCTAGTGGTCACATTTTTGACCCAATCATCATCAAACTTTGTCAGGATGCTTGTTTAGATAATAGCTCAGATAAGTTCGAATATGGGTCATCTCTGATGAAAAACTAGGTCACCGGAGCTATAATAGAAAAACCTTGTGAACACTCTAGAGGTCACATTTTTGACCCAATCGTCATCAAACTTGGTCAGGATGCTAATCTAGTTGATAGCTTAGATGAGTTCGAACATGGGTCATCTGGGATGAAAAAGTAGGTCACCGCAGCTAAAAATAGAAAAACCTTGTTAACACTCTAGCGGTCACATTTTTGCATCAGTCATCATCAAACTTGGTCAAGATGTTTTTCTAGGTGATAGCTCGGATGAGTTTGAACATGGGTTCATCTCAGATGAAAAAGTAGGTCACCGGAGCTAAAAATAGAAAAACCTTGTTAACACTCTAGCGGTCACATTTTTGCATCAGTCATCATCAAACTTGGTCAAGATGTTTTTCTAGGTGATAGCTCGGATGAGTTTGAACATGGGTCATCTTGGATGAAAAAGTAGGTCACCGGAGCTAAAAATAGAAAAACCTTGTTAACACTCTAGCGGTCACATTTTTGCATCAATCATCATCAAACTTGATCAAGATGTTTGTCTAGGTGATAGCTCAAATGGGTTCGAACATGGGTCATCTCGGATGAAAAACTAGGTCACAGGAGCTAAAAATAGAAAAACCTTGTTAACACTCTAGTGGTCACAATTTTGACTCAATTGTCATCAAACATGGTCAGGAAACTTGTCTAGGTCATTGCTGGGAATAAATCGAACATGGGACATCTCGGATGAAAAACTAGGTCACAGGAGCTAAAAATAGAAAAATCTTATTAACACTCTAGTGGCTACTGTTGTGATCCAAATATTCTGTTAATTGGTCTGAAAGTTTGTTTTGATGATTTCTAAGTCAAGATCGAACATGGGTCATCTTGGATGAAAAACTAGGTCACACCGCCCAAATATGGAAAAACCTTGTTAACATTCTAGTGGTCACATTTTCGACTCAATTATCATCAAACTTGGTCAGGATGCTTGTCTAGGTAATTGCTTGGATGAGTTCGAAATCGCATGTGAAACTAGGTCACCGCAGCTAAAAATAGAAAAATCTAGTTGCTACTGTTTTGATCCAAGTATCCTGGAAATTGGTTTGAAAGTTTGTTTTGATGATTTCTAGGTCACTCAAGTTTGAATATGTGTCACCTGGGTAAAAAACTAGGTCGCACTGCTCAAATATGGATAATCCTTGTTAACACTGTAGTGGTCACATTTTTGACTCACCTGTCATGAGACTTGGTCAGAATGCTTGCTTGTCTAGATAATTGTTTGGATGAGTTTGATAAGTCAGGTGAGCGATCTAGGGCCATCATGGCCCTCTTGTTTTTTGTCAGTTTAAGCCAAAAGAAGTGATATTTCAAACCTAATGTTTGATTATAAGATTTTTGGCCGGGTTGCACAGGTGCAAACCCGGCCTATAGTATGGTGAATGTCGGGCAGTGGGCGACGGCGGCGAAAATATTTTCGTAACAATTTTCTCATCAACTAACTTATCACAGCCTCTTGATATTTGGTATACAGCTTTAACACATGTTCCCATACTGTGGGAATCGATTTCAGGTCTGTCACTCGTCGACTTCCTGCTTACTGACTTAGTTAAATTATCAATATCAATGGTAGAAAATTTTAGTAACACCACAGCCTCATGACATTTGGTATGCAAATGCAACCCGGCCTTTTCTGTCTTTGACCCATCTTTTATTTTGTACATCAATTACTTGTAATCCAGTTCAAGTGATTGTCTTACATATTAAAACATGACCAGATAACATATTTTGCAGCTTTTGCATAATTTACATTTTAAAATTTGTACAATTTATATAATATGGATTTATATCAATGCATTAATTGTTTGTTGTTAATGCATTTGTAAAATTACATTAGTTTATATATATTATTTTAAAATTAATGTTGAATTTGGAAAATATGGAATGTCCGTCCACTTAGCATTATATTTTCATTTCATTTGTAATGTAATAAATGTATACCTTGTAATGTAATAAATGTATTTAATTGTCTGTTAATTTAAAATTTAATCATAAAATTATATATTTCTAATTGTAAAATGTTTTGATGTATAATAACAGTTTTTAATTGTTATACTTAATTGCAAAATTTGTTTAATAACAGTATTTAATATCATAATAAATCATGGATCTCTAGGTGAATTTATATTTGTAATTTAATTCTCTCTAATCTTCCCTATTTACATGTGTTGGAACATTTACTAATACCTGTGGGAAATCTGAATGAATGTATTTGAAAATTAAGAAAAATGATGCAGATAACTGGCATTAAACCCTATATTTTGGTTTTATGACAGACTTAAAACAAATTCCTAGGTTCGGACAACAACATGTAAAAGTTATGGGACCACATTTTATCCTATTATTAGAAATGTGGATCCTGTTACATCTTAACACTTACAGTGTATAGAATCTAGTGCATCTTAAATGGATTATTATATTCTGGTGGATTTATTGTTCAAGACTAAAAGAAATATTCTTTAAGATAAAAACTTGAATCATTATTGTGTATTAAATAACAATAGAGTTGTGATATACTTTTCTCAACTTAACATAGTGTAACAAAGAGTTATGAATAATGAAACCAGGCAAAATGGTTGTATTATTTATTATTTAGAAAAAATAAATTGTGCAAGTGTTGAAAATAGAAACTGCATTTATTGGCTGTATAATTATGTTTGCAGTAAACTCCGCTTATAACGAACTCATTGGGACATTCAAAATCTGTTCCTTATATCCGGAGTTCCTTGTATCAGGAGTTTTTATAGCAAACAGATTTACGTAAAACGAACTGATTGTTAAACATCGTCCAACATTTTGAAGAGCATTTGATTAAGAATAATTAGTCATTTATTTCTTTTTTGGACACAATACCCGAGAGCGTACATTTTGGAATTTGAAAATCCTTTCTATATTTCAGTTTTAGTTTTACTCCCTTTCTCAATTTCTCATAAAATATCATATTTTGTTTTTTAACTCAGTGCTTTTCGTTTTCTTTCCATGAATAAGAATATTTTTTCTTCCTTTTATATTAAATATCTTCTATTATATTTTAAGAGTGCCTTTTACTAATGAAATATATAGATTTCTTTTCATTTCAATCAAGCATACTTTGTAGATTTCTATGGATTTTGTTTGCAAGCATGCATGATTATGTTGAAAACCGATTATAAATGATCATAATTATTTTACTCAAGCAAAACTATTAAAGAAAAGTAATAATAGAATAAAAAGGAATAACAGTTTTATCTTTGTCACAAGAACTCATGCGAAAAATATTCTAAATGGAAAACTATTACATACTTCTACAAATTCATTTTCATAGATATAATGAATTACATACAACAATAAACGGTACATTCTGCGAGTTTTAATCCGTGCCAATGAAAACGAAAGTTGAAAATGCGGGATATATTTACGAGTAGCCGATATTTTGGAGTTTGTTATAAAAGTGTAATTTTCTGCACTTTTAACTAAATTTGGACTAAAAAATAAGTTCCTTATAAGCAATAATTCCCTATTACAGTGTTCGCTATAACCGTATATTTTAATATTAAATAAAGAAGGGCACAATTCGGGCCAAAATAAATTGTTCCTTTTAACCGGAAGTTCGCTATAACGGTGTTCGCTATAAGTGAAGTTTACTGTAATAATCTGTAAAGAATCAT